GTGTGTGTGTGTGTGTGTGTGTGTGTGTGTGCGCACGCGTACCTGCCAGCTCTACCACCCAGGGTATACGGCCACATGAACCTGCTGCTTATTGTCACATGAGGTCCAGATCAGATTCAGGCTCCCTTTCTAGGGAGTCTGGCACTTCACCGATGAACCACCGCCTCCTCTGGTGATTCCGTTCTGAGAGTCTAGTAACTGATGAGAATTTCCAATGATGAGGGGCACCAGCACCCTAGAGTCCATCTGAGAGGTGACACTCAAGGAAAGGCCATCTAGTTAGGGAGGGGTGTGGTCACTTGCACCAGAAGGATCTCCACAGTCCCATGGGACTGGATTTTAACCTGGCTCTGATGAGCTCTGTAGCCACATGAAGCTCACTGGTCATCTCCTCTAAAGAAAAGGCAAATGAGCAGGGTTTTCTTCTCTGTTGTTTCTTCACGTCTACTCATAAAATCGTGAAATTTCAGTATTTGTAAAAAAATTCATAAAAAATGATCTCCAAGTAATAATCATTCATAACGAAGATATGGACTTGGCTTTGGTTTTATAAGATAGAATTCGGGGCTGAGGAGGTGGATCGGGTGGAAACAGAGCTAGAGGAGCATGCGTGAGGAGGAGTTGAGATCCCCAGGCTAGTGTTTGTCTCTAGTCTCAGCTCTGCGACAGCACAGACAGGAGAATTCCTGGAGCTCCCTGACCAGCAGCCAGGCCGATTGGTGAGCTCAGAGATCAGCGAGAGAGGCTGCCTCATAAAATAAGGCGGACAGTAGCTGAGGAAGACATCTGACATTGGCCCTGGCCTCTGTGTATACCTCCCCTCCCCTCGTGTGTGCACAGGCATGTATGTGAACACATGCATTACACACACAGAATTAACATGCAGGGGTGTGACTTGCACACGGAGGTTTCCATCTATTCTGTGGGAGGTGATTCCTTAACCATTATGTCTTTGCTGCAAGACAGGAGTGTGGCATTTTCATTGATGGAGTTCATGCCAGATTTATTCACTGACAAATTTATGTGTCAGTAATTGATTTTTTTTACCTTTACTTTCAGTATATAATTTTTGTACATATAAAGATATTTTCTTCCAGGGGGATTATTTGTTTTGATCACAATCATCCCCATGCTCTCCCTTTTTTCACTTGCTATCCCACTAAAATCCTTATTTACCCAAGAAATCTCACTCTGGTTTCATGTCAATATAGACATACACACACACACACATACCTGTGTGGATAGAGAGATGATGATGATAGATAGATAGATAGATAGATAGATAGATAGATAGATAGATAGATAGAGAGAGCAGGGATGATTTTATATATCTATATAAAATCTAGAATCCACAAATAAAATAAAACATGGACAATTTGTCTTGTCTTTCTGAGTATGGCTTTTCTCAGTTAACATGATACTCTCCATTTTGTGTTCCTTTCCCAAAGGACATAATTATCTCCTCTATGGTGAATACGACCCCACTGTGTGTACATCATGCTCTTTTTGATTCATTAATCTGTGGACAGATGTCTAGGGTAATCTCAGGCCTCGCCTACTGTGGCAAGCGTGGGTAGCAAGCGTCCCTGTGGTAGGCTGGCTGGGCATTTTTCAGACGCTTGTGCAGAAGGAAACCTGGGTCACATGGAAGTTCTGATGTTAGCATTTTGAGAACTGACTGACTGAATGGACCAAGTGACTCTTCAGACTCGCCAGCATTTGCTGTCCGTTTCCTTAGGGCTGTTTGCTCTCTTACTCACAGCCATTCTGACAAGGCTGAGATGCTGCCTGGACTATGGTTTTCTTTATCATACATTGAGGGGCGGGGTGAAGCTCGGGCGCTCTGGCTTCTTTTCTTTGATTCACTCTCTCACGTTCAGCAGGTTCAAGGTCAGCTGCCGCCATTGATGATCCCCGTGTTCCCTCCTGACCAGCGGACCCTTGCTGCAGCTGCCCAACAAGGATTCCTCCTTCCTCCTGGCTTCAGTTACAAGGCTGGGTGCAGTAAGTACTACTGCGCTCCTAACTCCCGAGTGGGGGGATGATGTGGCTTTCGTTTGGACCCCTTAATGCCATTCACACACCAGCAGCACACCAGCAAGGGGGGAGCGCATTCTTTTAGTATGCTTATCTTAGCGATAAAACACAATGGCTGATGGAGTAGGAAGGGTTTTAGCTAATATCTACAAGTGTGCATCCCATTCCTGGGCTCCTAAAGCCAGTATCCAATCTCCACACCTCACTTTTATGCCTTCTATTCCCAGTATATTGCTAAAATAGGAATATAATTTGGGGGTTCATATTTTAAAGCCTATAGTTTTTCATCATACAGTAAATTCACCCCGAATTCCACAGAGAATATGGGGCCTTTGTGTCTGCCACATAGTAACAGCCGGTGAGGATGGGGTGTCAAGTGATCCTCATAGACTTGTGTGTTTGTGCAGTGTCTCCCTACATGGTGTTTGAGAAAGTTGTGGAACCTGTAAGATGCAGAGACCTTCTGAACAATGTGTATCATTGGAGGTGGCCCTCAAGGGTCCCCACCTCAACTCCCATTTTCTCATCGATTGCTGACTGTGAACTTCTGATGAGCCAGCCTCTCACTCCTGCCTCTATGGAAGGCAGCTCGTCAGATAGTTGGCAGGGACCCGCCCTTCTGCCCTTCCGTGTTGTATACTTTGTCCAGCAGCAGGGATATAACCAACACTCACCAACCCCTCCGAGCCTCTTCCCGTTCTTAGACTAGTCCACATTCTTTCTGGATGTTGGTTTCTCATAATGGGTCCCTTTTCCTGGTGTTTTGAGCCTGATCTAGTTCTTGTCAGGGGTGATCTCCTGGACCTATGCTTGGACCCCTTTCCCCTGGCCCCTCTGTGATCATTTGTTCAATAAGATATAAAGATTTAAGGACTAGAAATAAATGTTAAGATCACAGGTGTAAAAGTGCGAAACATCAACTAACGGGCAAATTCGAATTAATTTCTAGTCAAGTTGTAGAGAGATTGTTAAACTAAATGTCACAGCTCAGGTTTAGACTGTAAAAACCCCTAGCTGCACCTTCCCCTCTGCATAGCTCTTCCCTCCTTTGGCCACTATTCCTCTTGACTTTGTTTTTATTATGTTTTCCCATGAGTCAACATATTCCATTTCCATCGAGGACCCTGACTTGTCCATTTCGTAACACAAACACACAGTTCTAGTTTTACAGATCATCATTTAGCTCAGACGCATAGAAATCGCTTTTTAAAAAGAACAGTTAAGGGCTGTATTCTAAGGGTTTAAAAATTTTCAGAATAATTTTCTTTCTCAGGATCGAGTTTTCTATTCTGTTTTTACCCCAAGCTCTGCATGATCAAACATCCAGGGTCTTTGGTTTTATTTCTGTTGGTCTACAGAATTGTTCCTCACTTGACACATGGGTAGCAGATATGGTTTGGGTTTTTGTTTGTTTGTTTGTTTGTTTTTGTAATCTAGCTTACTAAAACAAGAAAAAGTCACTTAAAATCATCCATTGCTTCAGACTGCATTGCAAAAATGCATATAGAATCGCTCTCATTTCCAAAAGAAAAGTAAGTTATTTTTAAGCAAATATCGAAGCAAACTTCACTAACAAACACTGTGCAATAGAGAAAGACGCACAGTAGGATGACTACAGCCCCAGACAGGTCAGGAGCACACAGCTCCCCGCTCCCCTAACAGCTGGCATGTCGAATTTGCCCAGCTCAGTGTGCCATGGAGCAAACCAAATTTTCCCTTTGGAAAAATGGTCGGTGTTTTAACTGTTTGCTACTCACACCATTGGTGCTGAAGTTATAAGCGTCTCCACTTCTTCAGTTACCTTGGAAATAAAATAGAGCAAAGCTTTTACTGCTGCTGGCCAACTTCAGCTGGGCACCTTGCCAGACTCGAGAACTTAGCCGAAGTGGGTTGTCAGAGCAAGTGGCCCACTCTTGTTGACACCCGGGTTCCTGGGGCAAGCCTCAAGGAGGAGCTGGGCTGATGTGATTAATAGTCTATGCTGTCTCTCCACCAATCACACTGCAAGAAAGGAAATGGGGGAGTAGAGTAAAGCCTGCCTTCCCATCTTCGGCACGACTCCTCACCTGGTGTCACTTGCTTTGAGTGCTATGATGAAGTTCTTGGTGACAAACTTGGCCAGCACACATACCATGTGACTCCAAAAGCAGAAGCATTTCAGAGCTCATGGAACCTGGGGCTGATATCTGCTCAAGAGCTGAAGTGTGGAACTTACTGTGTCCCTGGTAAGCGCAAGCTGAGGAACCTCGGAACCTGGCCAGTGCAGCCTAAATCAGCAAGTCCTGTTTGCAGAAGAAGAGGCTCCTAGCTGGAGCATAGACATCTTGTCCTGTTTTGGAAATAATGACAAAAATGTGCCCCGCCCTGGAGAAGACAAACATAAATGTCAGCGGCACAGACTGATAAGAGTATAACCGAGTAGCCGGAAACATCTGGATACAGGGGTGCACGGAAAGCAAGCACAGAAGGATATGCTTCCCTGCTCTCACCTCTGAGTCCTGTGTCAGCCTGCAACTGCGAGAGTATTGATAATATTCACTGTGGGCACTTAAGAAAGCCAAGCCCAAAAACACACACGTTCACGAATCCATGCCTAGCTAAACATTTTCCTGCTTACTTCCTAAGACCTAGGAAAGATACTTGTAAAGTCTTTGGAGGTGAGAATAATGGCATTTTGTTTATTGTTGTTATTGTTGATTGTAGCCAGAGCCTTACCCTGTAGCCCAGTCTTCCCTCCTCAGCCAAAGCCATCTTGGGGTTAGGGGTGTGAGTCTCCATACTCAGCTACTGATAATGATGAATTAGTAAATCAAATGCCATCTTACAAGAGGGAGGAGGCATGGGTTTGAAAAAGTCATGTAAAAACACTGTTTTGGAAGGTCAACTCCATTTTACCCAATTCACTTAAGGGGAAAAATAAGTCAAGTAATAGTTCTTTTGTAGACTCGTTAGCCTTAATCAGGCTGCAATGTGGAAAAAATAAATTTATAACACATAACTTAAAATTCCAAACCTAATTTATATCTGTCAGTACTAACTCATTAGAAAACAGTCATGACATCACTATAAAACATTTGTGACAACCCATTAAGTAAGTTTGGAATGCAAGGTGCCCAAGATATTTTTTCTGAATTATAAGTCAAGTGGGCGCACAAATAATTTAGTTCAATCCCTCCAAGTGGCTCCAGAGTGTGTGGACTCCTTCTTCTAAGTAGAATGCCAACTTGTTAAGTAAAAAAAGTCAACCCATGAGTCAGGAGGCTTCTGCCAAGCACCTATCTTCAAAGAAAAGTTGAAGCACCTTTGGCACCAGCAGAAATGCTTTGTGTTGGAAGGAAGACACACCGCCTTGCAGTTGCTCACCTTAGAGAACCAACCCTACCTTAAAGGGAGGGAAGAAATATGGAGTGCATGTATTTTGGTGTGCACCCAACACTTTCCACTTGGGGAGGAGTTGGAGACAATCAAGTCTTGAGGTTTGCCCTGTTGCTCTCTCTGTTTCTGATCCCTTCCTCCCTCTGCGCACAGCTTCCAGCTGCTCCTGTACAGAGACCCCCTGTTCCTCTACAGCACGTAGTTTAAAAACAGAATTGGGAGAAACAGATGACTCACTGACTGGGAGCTACAGCCCTCTGCCCTTCTTTTCTCTATTTGTACCCAAAATTTCCAATCCTAGAACTCTAACAGTCACAAGCTTTGGAAATTTTGACAGGAAGGCATTTTATAGGGAAATAATAAAATCTTGAGAAAAGTCAAAATTCAATAAAAGAAAATTTTTTATGCACAATATAAAAATAAGTTGGAAAAGAGCTGGCTTGATCACTTAGCCCAAGGTACGAATTGAATGTGTCATATGAGCTCAATGGATAAGAACGTCGCACGCCAAGGACCTCAGTGTGGTCTTGGTTAACCCCCAGGGGCATGCTGAGTATTTCAACAATTCCAAGAAAATACAAAGGCATCTATTTGGTGCTTTGTAAACTTTCATCTTTTAAGTTGTGTGGACTTTTCTACTTAATAAGGGTGAATGGTTGGATTTTTCTTTTCTCATAAAGATGGCATTAAAAGTGACCGTGCCACTGGAAGTGCCTTAACTCAGGAAGGTTCCAGAGCTCTCTGCCCAGTGTAGTCTTACCTTGTGGTTGTGGTGGTGGCTGTTGTTTTAACTTTGTTGTGCCCTCTTATTTTTTAAACCAGAAAGTTTTCATGAATATAAAATAACAAAAATTATTCCAACAAAGTTTATAGAACTCTGTACTATGTGAAGATAATCAATTCATAGATCTGTACCAGTTGATTTTTCCCAATATATTATTGCAGGCTTTCTGCTCTTTGTTTTTGACAAAATTTGCTCAATCCCAAATACGCAATAGCAAATTAAGAAGTACTTAGAGTGTCAGAGACTGGAGGTGTAATTAGGTTCTAATTCACTACTTTGTTCCTCCTCAAGCAAGTGTGATGGTTTGAATAAGGAATGTTCCCCCATAGACTCATATGTTTGAACACCTAGTCTCCAGTGGGTGGCCTGTTTAAGACAGTTGTGGAACCTTTAGGAGGTGGATCCTTGCTAGAAGAAGTACGTCATTGTGGGTAGGCTTTGAGAATTCACATCTGAGTCCTCATTTCTGTTCTCTCTTCTCTTCTCTCTCTCTCTCTCTCTCTCTCTCTCTCTCTCTCTCTCTCTCTCTCTCTTTCTCTCTCTCTCTCTCTGTCTCTCTCCTCCCCCCACCACACCCCTGCCTCCTGTGTGTGAATGAATGTGGTATCTCCCTCCCACCCTCTGCTTTTGCTCCTGTCTGCAGGACAAGCCTTCCCTGACATTGTGGTCTTTCTCTATTATAGACACGTGCTGCCCTGACTGGCTCAACATGATTCTTTCTGAATAAACACTTTCAAGCTCAGCAACTAAACCAGACTTCCCCAAAGGCTTTAACTTGTAAAATTTGGAGAAGGGAGAGAATTAGGGG